GTTACCCCTTTTCACCCCCAAAACCCCCCCCCCCCCCCCCCCCTTCCCCCTTCACCTCTCATCATGTAAAATATGTAGTAGTATAATTATATACAAGAAGTTAAAATATTTTATATTGTTGATGGTAGATCTGTCGTAATATAACTTACTGATATATAAATAAACTTCATACATCATCCTCTACTCTTATAGATTAAATAAATAAACTTTATACATCTCCCTCATCATATTTCAACAGATTTGTATCAAGCTGATATTGTTGGTCTTCCTACATGCAATGCTTAATAATGTAATAATAACTAAACCCAAGCTTAGCATGTCTCCTCTGTTTTCTACAATCCCCTTCTCTATCAATCTGTGCTCCATGTCTCTTAAAACATGACATCACACTTTTCCTCGAGACTTAATTATAGTCAGTCAAGTATAAAGCATGCTGACCTATCTTAGTCTTAACCCCCTATATTCTACAGACACATCCCCCCACCAATCTCCTGTAACCCAATATATCATTGGCGCTGTTAAATAAAAACTTTCCAACTACAATATATATAACATCTCATATGATGACTACACTTTACACAGTCTAAATTAACATTGTCTAGGAGTACTCAGAAAATTATTACTATTAAACTATGCGAGAACGTGTCTGGTATCCAATCATTGATACACTTTCGATATTTGGGGACATCATTTCCATGTTGATTCAATTTGGGGACACGTACAAAAATAGTATGAAAACTTCTGGTCTAACCCATCATAAAGTTTTAATAAATAGCCTATGATACATGGTGTTATTGAAATATTAACCTAGTGACAAGACAGGCAGGTCTATCACTTCTCTCTATTCTACATCTCTATTGAATATACCTCCCCTCCCCCCTTCCTCCCTGCCCTTCTATACTGTCCCCTCTCTAGCACTTCAGATCAAGTAGCCTATGAAACATGGTGTTAGTGAAATATTAACCTAGTGACAAGACAGGCAGGTCTATCACTTCTCTCTATTCTACATCTCTATTGAATACACCTCCCCTCCCCCCCTTCCTCCCTGCCCTTCTATACTGTCCCCTCTCTAGCACTTCAGATCAAGTAGCCTATGAAACATGGTGTTAGTGAAATATTAACCTAGTGACAAGACAGGCAGGTCTATCACTTCTCTCTATTCTACATCTCTATTGAATACACCTCCCCCTTCCTCCCTGCCCTTCTATACTGTCCCCTCTCTAGCACTTCAGATCAAGTAGCCTATGATACATGGTGTTAGTGAAATATTAACCTAGTGACAAGACAGGCAGGTCTATCACTTCTCTCTATTCTACATCTCTATTGAATACACTATACCACTACAACACAACACCAGGGTTCGTTCTACTTGTCTTTCATACAGTTGCTCTACTCAACTCAATATTATCTCTATTGCTACTGTACACTGACTGGCGGCCATCTTTGTTTTTGTTCTGTTAAACATCTCGGCTCTATTTTGAGGTGAAATGTCAATTTTAAGAGATTTGTAACAAGTTTTAGTCAGTTTACTTGATGTCACAAAGGAATTAAAAGACTTGTCGTGTATGTAAGTAATTTAGAATAGTATTAAATTTAAGGCAAGTTTGTCGATTGGTTAAAAATGGAGTGAAGATTTGATTCTGACTGTGTATTAAGTGTGAACTATTAAGAACACAGCTAGTGGCATGTTACCATTAGTAACTATTACTATAGTATTTAGGTTGCTAGGTTGATGATGTCATCAAGATGAAAGTGTTAGGGGTTAATTTAGGGTTGACCTATTGTTTTTGGGGGGGTTAAAGCTACCAGATTATGTGACATTAGATCAGGGACACAACAACAGCTTGATGTGTGTTATGTAAACACCAGGTGCAACTGAGTTGAACAAAGATAAAGGCAAAACATGTCATTATAGAAATAGGTCTCCATCTGACTACCAAACACAAACATTAGGCTACATTCTGGGTAATGTTTGGGTCACTGTTAGATTTAGGAGGCTCAGCAAAGGTTCATGTCTCTTAACACCACAGTAAAACACTAGATTACATGTCGGGTAACAGTGGGGGCTGTAAATGAATTAGATATATTGTTTAGAAATAGGACACTATAGGGTTAGGAATTTAAGGTATTAACATTGCAGTTAAGTAATATTAGGAAAGCACAGGCTCAGGCATGTAGGCGTAACTTCTAATGAGAGAGTATTGTTTAGTTTGATCAATATGATACAGTTTATATGAAAATCCATAATCTTTCGAATCTGAAATATATAAGAAGAATATTGGTTCCCACGGGAACATTAATAACCATGGAAATTATAATAAACATTAATTTACCGGTACCAGTGAAAATGTTTTAGGGTCAGAAATAGGATTAATTTAAGATACATGCAAGATGAGTAATGTCTAGAAATGGAACCCCTACCCCAGGCTAGATTTTGGGTAACACTTTAGTCACCTTTAGGGTTAGAAAACTAAAATAGAGTAACATGTTGCGTAAAATTTGAAATAGGGTTCTGTCTCTATACACCCTGAAACTATCAATTAACAATAATATTTAAACTATTAGTAAGTCTTATAATGCTCTCTGCATTTCCAAAACTAGCTGTCCTGATGAGGATTGTGCATCTGAAACACATTTATCAACAGTATGAGATAAACTCTAGTCAGTTAGAATTGACATGGAATATCAAAGACTTAAACATGCAGAATTCTATAATTGATATTCCTTATGAATTTTTATGATTTTTTTCCACATTTGCATTCACGATTTGCATCGCGTTTGTTATGTAAATAGGGTTTTATAAACCACATGAACATCAACTATATTCGCGATATTACTCATTCATTCTCCTAACGTTCAACTTGTGTATAATACTGTAATATGAACCTCTAGAACTCTGTCGTCAGGACATGACAAAAGATTGAATGAAATTTGATATTATTGAAATACACACAACTTGTTACATTATAGCTTTGAATTATTATCTTGAATATTTTTTATGACAGGCGTGAAGATCATTTTGCATATCATTGAGACAGTAAACATCAACATAAAAACATGAAGTTTTGAGATCTTCTTACATAAAGTCTAGAATATTAAAATTTGTCTTTTAGAGAGTTCACACATCAAGGAATATTCAAAGAGGCCAAATACCTTATAATGTTTATATTAGTATTTTACTATTTGCATTTATATATTCTAAAAACATAAACTTGATTTGTCAGCATGATTTTTAGGTAGAATATAGAACACTTTAGTCAGATAACATTGACAGTGTTCATTAAAAGTTGAATAGTGTTCGAGTTTGTTTTAATTCCATCCTGAAACGTGCATTAATATTTTTGTTGTGCTATAATACTTGTGAAATTAATATTTTGATTTTAAACAAATATGTATCGTGTCGTAAAACCCTTCATTTTTTTCAGGATGATTTGGTAGAATTTTTTTATTTTTTAATTCAATAGTTTTGTTCTGTTGTTTAATTTAAATAATAAAGTCATGTAAGAAATATATTCAGAGATCAAACTTTCTCTATTTTCAGGGTGATTTGGTAGAATTTTATTATTTCTGGAAGAAAACGCCTGGTGCTGCGTCCAACAGACCTCATCGTAGACACAGACGTCCTGGTCATAAACGTCAAGTTCCACGATCCAACAACCAAACACCAGGTAAGATTATCATGATAGCTACTTCGATATCAGGCACTATTTCTAGAATTTTCCTAATTATAGATTGTTAATTTTTACTGTGTCATGTAGACCTATGATCAATTTAATTAATTTACAAGGCTTAAAGCTTATTTTTAAAAACAAAAGAAAAAAAGAATCAATTTGGAGTTTCAAATCACGAATTTACATTTATTTTTTGATGAGCTACATAGTAAAAAGTTCAGAATAGTTCTGAGGATTTCTCAACCAAGGTTTCAGTGGTACATGTTAAAAGATTATATATGGGGGAAAACATCTATTTTTGATTAGACATGACTATTAAAGAGCTACATCTTATCCAAGTTTTCTCTGGTGCCTGTCAAAAAGTTTTTGGGAAAACCATCTATGTGTTGAGATTGACCAATAAACTGAGGCCCCATTTAGGCTTCACATGTCAAAGATCCCTCAAGAGTTGAAAAT